GAGATGGAGTTTCGCTCTTGTTGCCCAGGCTGGAGTGCAATGGCGCGATCTCGGCTCACCGCAACCTCCGCCTCCTGGGTTCAGGCAATTCTCCTGCCTCAGCCTCCTGAGTAGCTGGGATTACAGGCGTGCGCCACCATGCCCAGCTAATTTTTTGTATTTTTAGTAGAGACAGGGTTTCGCCATGTTGACCAGGATGGTCTCGATCTCCTGACCTCGTGAGCCACCTGCCTCAGCCTCCCAAAGTCTGGGATTACAGGCGTCAGTCACCGCGCCCAGCCCTAAAGCTTAATTTCAATATCATTCATGATATTAACCCAGACAATTTTTTAGTGATCTGTAATAAGCATATTACAGTTTTCTTCCAAGGCCTTGTTTGATATTTTCATTCAAACTTTATACACTGTCATATTATCCCATTACTTCACAACATAGATGGACGTGTTTTCATGAATGCTCACAGTGTTAGAAATATTTACGTTAATTAAGATATGTTTATTTTTTAACATGGTCAACATAGCAAGACCTCACCTCTACAAAATGGTGAACTAACAAATTAGCCAGGCATAGTGGCATATGCCTTTAGTTTTACCTACTCAGGCAGCTGAGGCAGAGGATTGCTTGAGCTCAGGAGTTTGAGGCTGCAGTTAACCATCATTGCACCACTGCCCTCCAGCCTGGGTGACAAAGTCAGACCTTGTCTCAGAAAAAGGAAAAAAGTTATTAATAGTTTATTATGCCTACAATTTGTCCTGCCAAAAAGGAGAGAGAAAAATGTAAACTTTAGTTTTTATTTTATTTTATTTATGTTTGCTGAGAAGATTGCTGTAGTTTATTTAGCTATTTTTTATTTCTGTAGGTTTTGGGGGGAACAGGTTGTATTTGGTTACATGAGTAAGTTCTTTAGTGATGATTTGTGAGATTTTGGTGCACCCATCACCTGATCAGTACCCACTAAACCTGATTTGTAGTCTTTTATCCCTCACCCTTTTCCCACACTTTCCCCTGAGTCCCCAGAGTCCCTTGTATCATTCTTATGCCTTTACATCCTCGTTGATAAATGAGAATATACAATGTTTAGTTTTCCATGCCTGAGTTACTTCACTTAGAATGATAGTCTCCAATTCCATCGAGGTTCCTGGAAATGCCATTAATTTATTCCTTATTGTAACTGAGTGGTATTCCATCACATATGTTTGTGTGTGTGTGTGTGTGTGTATTTAAAATATGTATATAAAATATATACACGTATATCACATTTTTTATCCCCTCATTGACTGATGGGCATTTGGGCTGGTTCCATATTTTTGTAATTGAAATTTGTAAATTGTAATTTGTTTGAGTTCCTTGTAGATTCTGGGTAATAGCCCTTTGTCAGATACATAGAGTGTGAAGACTTTCTCCCACTCTGTGGGTTGTCTGTTTACTCTGCCGATTGTTCCTTTCCCTGTGCAGAAGCTCTTCAGTTAAGTCTTACCTGTTTGCTTTTGTTGCATTTGCTTTTGGGTTCTTGGTCATGAAGTCTTTGCCTAAGCCAGTGTCTAGAAGGGTTTTTCCAAGGTTGTCTTCCAGAATTTTTTTTTTTTTTTTTTTTTTTTTTTTTTTTTTTTTTT